CACACACACACACACACACACACAAATCAAGTTGAAGAGAAAGACTATTAAGCAGAAAAAAAGTTATTTTCTAGTTAGTTGAAACTGAAATTATAAGTGTTATGTTAGAGCAGTAATGTACACATCAGATCGTTTATTTGAAACATAAAAAAAAAAGTTCTGGTGTATTTGCTTTTTAACTTTGAATACAAACTTATCTGCTTTTACTTTTGCAGCTATTTTGCTAGTCAGCTCCCGACGCGATGTCATTCACTGTACGCGGTGCTCACGCTTTTTTAAACTCGTAATAAAGCGGTGAATGATCTTTCCAGAAGGCTGATCGACAGAACAAGTTCATATTTAGAATAAATTGCAATCACTCTAAAATAGATGACGACCACTCGCACACCTGCATTAGGAGCTGTACTTCTTTGCGTGCCTATTTAGCCGTTTGCATCGCATAGTTCACAGCACCTGAAAGATGGTCGTTACGCAAACATTCAGAAGGCGGGACCCGCTTTGAAACTGCAACATTAATTGGTTTAATTGCAGATGAGTGACAATTCAACTATATCCAATGAATAGAGGCTAGAATTTGCTGCCCAACAAAAATAACACATGATGTGTACAAGAAAACTCAAATCATCCTGACCTTGAGTGAGAGACGTGTCTGAAGCCCTTCGCCCCTCTCTGAAACTGACTAGTGAGTGATTATGAGCACTCTGCCCCTCCGTGTTGAGGCTGGGCTCAGGGGGCTTCATGCCCAGGAAGACTGGAGCTGTGGGGCTGGCAGGTGTAGTGCTTAATACATCCTTTAGAGCTGGATTCTCTTCAGGCAAACTGAAATCACTTTGAGTTGAACCCATGCTGTACTCTGAGTCCATGCTGCCGAGGGATGGGTTCAGACCTGCAGAGAGGAGCTTTTGTTGAACTGAAGTTCACTCAAGAATATGGATGTAACCGTATTTACTCGGTGTCCAAAAACTAACACCAAAACTCAAATGGAAGTTAAAACTGAGTTGGGTGAATACATAAATCTTACTAACCGAGAACTTTCAGAACTGCAACATTATGCATGGTTTACCTTACAATGTAAAACATTAATCCAAGCCTTGCTGAACACATTCTAGTCCAGACATAAACATAAACAAAATTCTCTGAATATGCACTGACTGCACTGGTTTTTAATCAATGTATGAATTAAGCTTTTATATCTTTTTCTTTCTTTTTTCATTTTTATGTCTTTTGGATATTTTAGCAATGCACTTTTGTCTGATTTTATTCTCTTTATTATGTTAAGCACTTTGAATTCCCATTATTAAGGAAATGTGCTTTATAAATGAACTTGACAAAATCATAAGTCACAAACAGTCTACTAAAAAAAAGCTGGCTGTTAATGTCAGTGGGAAAAATTACTGTAAGCAGTTTAGCTAGGATGCCAAGTTGTGAAATATTCCTAAGTAATATAAATAAGTAAATATAAATACAGATGATCATGTGTTTGAATCCATTTATACTGCATATTGTTTTTTATTTTAAACAGAAATGGAAATTTAATAGATTAAAATTTGTATTTGAATGTTCTATTTCAAACAAATGCTGTTATTCTGAACCTTCTATTTATCAGAGAATCCAAAGAATACAGTTTTTGCACAAAAAAAATATACAGCGCAATTGTTTTAACTGATAACAATAAGAAATGTTTCTTGAGCAGCAAATCTGCATATTACAATGCAATTTTTTGCAACTTTGCAATCAAAGGAATAAATCACATTTTATAATATATAATAAAATAGAAAATAGTTATTTTGAATTGAATTAATTTGACAGTATTTACTGTATTTTTAACTAATTTTTGATTCTGTATATTGATCAAATAAATGCAGTCTTGGTGAGCATAACAGACTTTCAAAGAAATTCAAAAATCTTACAGACCTCAAACTTTAAATGGTAATATATCATTAAGACATTATATATTAATATTGAAGCCTCTTAAATACTATAATTGCCTGCCCTCATCACACACATGAAATGCAGTACTAACCTGTAATGGGCAGCACAGCAGGTTGGTTGGTGACCTCAGACAGTGTATGCCGGCGCTGACTGAAGCGAGCTGTATGAAAGGCGGCAAGGGGCACAGCATGCTCTTCCTCTGCCTCAATGCCCTCATCAATGGACGTCTCCATAATGTTGCTAGGCAGCGAGCCACTGACTTTGCGGACAACGACTGGAGGAAGCGGGTCCAGTAAGCAGCCATCCACCTGAGATATAAATACACACACAAATACACAAACTATTTTGGGCTGAAACAGCTCAGCAGTTGTTGGGACATTTTCACTTTGCTGTTTCCAGAACTCACAAGGGAAATCAAAGCCGAAACTCAATGGATTTAACTACTAGTTATTCCCAAAGAAGCAAACAAGAATGCTTTGAAATGTGTATATAATGTGTATATATATATATATATATATATATATATAACAGTAAAGATTATAAGTAAATAACAATTTAAGGTTGACATGAAATGCAAGTTATAAATCTTATTGTGAACTTGTCTAACTCAGTCTGATATAATCACATCACCTTTGAAATATGTATATAATGTGTATATATATATATATATATATATATATATATATATATATATAACAGTAAAGATTATCAGTAAATAACAATTTAAGGTTGACATGAAATGCAAGTTATAAATCTTATTGTGAACTTGTCTAACTCAGTCCGATATAATCACATCACTATTCACATGTCGCAGCTGATAGGTTTCTTTTCACATCAGCAACCAATGAGCTTGCTGGTCAATGTTCAAATACTTGGCTAGTGCTTGCTGTAGCAGCTGCAGCGCGCTTCAGAAACCCTCCACCTTCCCCAGCTCCACCTGTATAGATCTGCTATGGGGTAATTCATGTTTGTTATATATGGGGTTTATTTCATATGATGTTATTTCATGTTTTATGTGTAGCAGCAGTATTTCCTACTAGCTCACAGCAGCATGTCTGTAGAGGTATTGACAGTAGCAAGTCTCGGTACTTGCTCTGCCACAGCAACAGCAGCAGCATCGCACATCTGTTTTGCCAAGACCAAACACATTAACATTGCCATGTATACTACCATGCTAAACTCCCAGAGAGTGATCATGACAGAAACACAATATATTTGAAGAGCAAATATATATCAGTAATTCTATTCTACCTTCTCTTTTGTTCATATAACATTGATAATCTTTTCTGTTACATTCTAATACAATAAAAGTGTTTCATTGGCATGAAGAACCATTAACATCCATGGAAACTTTCCAGTGCACAAAATAATGTTTTAGATTACTTGTTCTTAAATGTACTGTACAGTACAGTACAAGAAAAAAAACCTGCTTCTTTTAAGAACTGTTCTCTAAAAGGTTGTTTTGGGAACCAAAATGTTTCCCCCCCCCCAAAGGCATCACTGCAAAAACACCCTTTTTGTAACCTTTGTTTTTAAGAGTGTAGACAATGTCATCAGTTTCATTTATGAGAAATTATGTAATGTTGCTCTGATAAATGTCCACAGGCAACCAGCAGCTTTCCTGAATTACAATAAGCCAGCTGATATAAGTTTGTGAGAGTCTGACCTCAACGTGTTTGAAGAGATCCCTAGATTGCCATCTGTTCAGCTCCACAGGCGCTGAGGCTAAATGAATGACTTATCACGCGTCTCTTTCTTCATAAACAAACATTTACGTCTATTCATTTGGCAGTTTAACAACAACTCACAGTCCATTTAAGGACTACTTTTATAAGTGTGTTTGTTCCCTTGGTATTAAGCTCTTGACCTTGGTATTGCAAGCACCAACTGAACAGAAAAAAGACCTGTTGGAGGGCAAATTGGTATGTATACGGCAGAGTCCCCACAGGATGAGTCAATGCTGCACGTCAACTAAAGAACAGTAGCTATGGAGATTGCCTTGCGACAGCCAAGGTAACAAATGTTGTAGTCACATGTTGGAGGGCAAATTGGTATGTATACGGCAGAGTCCCCACAGGATGAGTCAATGCTGCACGTCAACTAAAGGACAGTAGCTATGGAGATTGCCTTGCGACAGCCAAGGTAACAAATGTTGTAGTCACGCTTTTCACAAGTGGAGAGAACACCCAGCACTGATCACATGGGTGACCCATCACTGGCACATCAGGGGCATTTACAAACAGAGCCGTGCTGTTGTGCAACAGCAAGCAGAAAACTTGACATGCTGGTGTTACTGTAACAACAGGCTGCAAATAACAGGACGTGCAAATGAAATGCAGGTTATGTTTCCTTATGATCAACAAGGGTGAGCAGCATGATCAATCTTTTATTTCATGGTATGTGTATATGGCATAATAGTTAATTTTGCTGGAAATTTGTTGAAAAATGGTTTATATTTTGATAAAAATTAATAAATATATTTTGGACAATGCAGTGAATATATTTTAAAGACAAGCACTTTGTCTTATTTAATTAGAATAGTTTATATCTTAAATAATCATAATAACAATAGTTAGATAATAGTAATATTTCAGCCAATGCAGTGAAAATTTGTTTTTAAAAGACGTGCTTCATCTCTGATTAAAAATTGTTTATAATAGTAGCTTATATTATTATTACTATTATTAATAGCTTATATATGAATATACTGTATATGAAATGACTAAATATATGAAATAATCATTAATAACAACAATAATGATACTATATAATAATTTTAAACAATGCAATGAATTCATTAAAAATTACTTTATCTAATTTGACTAAGTTTTTTGGAACAAAAAAGGTGATTATACAAAAAAGTCTGACATTTGTGCAATAACAACATCCCATTATGACTTAAAAACAAAACGAAAAATGACATATTATATTATATTACAATTAATAATGTATTAAAGGGGTCCTATTACGCTTTTTCACTTTTTGAATTTTAGTCAGTGTGTAGGGTGTATGTTTGGGCATAAAAAAGATCTAGAAAGTTACAAATCTCAAAGTCCACTCCAAAGGGAGATATTTCATTTTTTTTAAAATCCCTTTTCAAGAACTACAACGAATGGCTCGTTTGGCAGCGTTTGTTTTCCGGGCTTTGTGATGTCACAAAGTGGCTCATTGGAATATCATTACAAATAATTCCCGCCTACAGAAATTCGAATGGTTGGGGGGTGGGGAGGGGCGAGGTCGTGGTTAGAACCATAGACTTTATGTCTATGGTTAGAACGCTTGGTTGAGTGAGTGCATCAGAGAGGTGACGAAGAAGAAGTGCTGCTGCAGAGTTAGTGCATCAGAGAAAATGAAGAAGAAGAGCTGCTGTGCTGTAGAGTAAAATTTTCGGCACGTCTAGAACAATTCTTACAAGTGTAACAGGACGTAGCTGGGCGCCGCGGACAGACGCCAAACAGCGGTGTGCCTACACTCATAGAAAATAAAGTATTTGAATTTTAAAGCCGTGGCGCGACGCAACGCTGCGCTTCTCGTCCGGTGTGCGACTGCCTGAAACGCAGTTTTTTCACCTCCGTGCCAAAACGTCTTTGTTTGGGCTTCCGAAAGCGGATGATGTCAGGAAACAGTGGTTGCAATTTATTTTTTAACTGAGCATTAGGGAGTACAGTGCCTGCCGGATTCGCCAAAAAGTTTTTGTTGAAAGACAGAGCAAGGGGCGTTGCAGTACTGAAACACTGTCTAAGCTGTTCAACAATCACAACGCACTGGGACAGCTAACCAATCACAACACATTTTGTTTTTCGGAAGGCGGACCTTCATCAAAGCCGGAACTAATCAAGCCGTTTGTGCAAGGCTGGAGAGAAAGGTATTTTAATAATGTAACTTATGTGAAAAATAATGCGTTTTTCGAACCACCAAGCATGAGAGCATGTACACCCCCAAAACAAAATCAAGACTTTGTAAAAGAGCATAATAGGACCCCTTTAATAACTAAATCAATGAATTAAAATATAATTAAGAGATATTATAAAAAAGCCAACAGGCTTTGTTACGTCAAAGCCATAAAGGTTGATTTGCTACACTGTATGAGCTGATATTAGGAGGAGGGACATTCTCATTCTAGAGAGAATTTGATTGGACAAATATCTGTGTAATGCAACATAGTTCATCAAAAAAAGTACACTAGGATCTAGGTGACCTCAAAATTACTAGACATGGACTAAAAGCCCCATAAACGACATCCCTCTCTATATTTTCACATTTCTCCATTGCTCATAAGTACAAAGCACTCTGACGGCCACACAAACTAGCTACCACTACCATGGTACAGCAAAATCTCTGCCAGTTGACATATTCCCGGTGTCATGCAGTGCATACTGTCATATCGCCCAGTCCCAGATATATAAATTCCCTAGTCTCTGTCTGAGTCATTCATTTATGAATGAGTAGCAATAAGTGCTTGAGATACCTACACTGACGCAAAGCACCAATGATGACACCAAGCACTGAAATCATAAAAAGCATTTTTTAGTATTTAATATATACGCAGGTGTTATTTTAGGAGGCTGAAGTGCTGCTGAGATACTGCGGGTGAGTAATGAGGAAGAGATCAGGCTGACACACAGGCAGAGGAACTTCACACGCTGCAGACAAAAGCTCTTATTGCCGTCATACAGCAGCGCCAATGAGTAACGCTGCTATTTAAAACGCAGGCAGAGCTTATGAAATATAGCCTCAAGCCCGAAAAGAGGATGAGAGATTTCTCTCTGTGCCATACGAATCTATTTAATAACCTTTTTTCATCTGAAACATAACTGACCTTGGGAGTGGCCACGTCTTCCTCCATGAGCGTCTGATCTGGGAAAACAGGGGGTTGTGGGAAGGTAAATGTGTCTGTAGTGGACTGCAACAGAACAGGCGAACACAGGTGACTCGCTGCCTGCGGCGGGATGCCCGCATGAGAAGGAACCGCGATGGTCTGTAACAAGAACATGAAGGCATATACCAATAAGTCCAATGGTAATATCATGGAATTGCAGCTGTCTTGGTTGTACCTTGGTACAATGTAACTGTTTTTCCAAGTTCATATAGTCACAGTCATGTCCCATGGTATTACCCATCTGATACTGCATGAATATGTTGATGAATCCATAAGAAAGGATCATGAAAGGTCTCAAAAGCCTGTTTCTGTGGTTTACGGTCGAAGAGGTTAAACTGAAAGAAGGATGGCTGGATTACAGATTTTGTTCCTCATGATTCCAATATTTACATTTTTATACCAACGCCATTTCAATATGTCTGGGTAGACTTCACAGATGGGGTTACCTTGACAACAGTCTGCTCAGCGACGGTGCTAGGGCGGCGCTGGTTGGCGTGCAAACGCTGTTCCACAGGGAAACTGCTGCGATGCGCTTTCAACCGCTCCACAAGCAGGTAGTAGATCGCAGCAAAGTGGTTATAGCTTTTGTTCTGAAGAGACTGTGACAGGAAAAGAAGAGTTTTTGAAGAACAAGGCAGACAAGGATAGAGAACACTGGCAAATTTCTATCAGTACGTTTTGAAAATATTCTGAAAGGCTGTTCTTTGGAATAATCGAATTTGCAAATCAGAGGAGAAATTATTTTTGGAAATCCAAAGCTCAAACCATTACTAGAGTTCGGAATTGAAGAACTGGCTCATGAGTGTGATTAACACAAGTGACAGGAAAAGAAGAGTTTTTGAAGAACAAGGCAGACAAGGATAGAGAACACTGGCAAATTTCTATCAGTACGTTTTGAAAATATTCTGAAAGGCTGTTCTTTGGAAATCAGAGGAGAAATTATTTTTGGAAATCCAAAGCTCAAACCATTACTAGAGTTCAGAATCGAAGAACTGGCTCATGAGTGTGATTAACACAAGTTTTGTGACAAAACATAAATAGCAATACTATTGTTTTGGACTAATTATAAATGTTAATTGCCTTGTTTATTGCTCTCTTTTTTTTTTTTTTTTTTTTTACAAAAATGTGTAAATACTGTCCAAAATAACACTTAAAACATATACATATACAGTAGCTTTACATTTAGTCATTTAGCAGACGCTTTTATCCAAAGTGACTTACAAATGGGGACAACAGAAGCAATCAAAACCAAAAAAAGAGCAATAATATGTAAGTGCTATGACAATTCTGTTTGTCTAATGCAGTATATGTAGCAAGGTTTTTTTATAATAAAAAAAAACAAGTAGAAAGAATAGAAAAAGAAGAGAGAATGCTAGTGTTAGAAGGTCATTTTTATAATAAAAATAAAACAAGTAGATAGAATAGAAAAAGAATAAGAGTGTGTATTAGCGTAATTAGTGTTTGTATATATAGCTATATATACGCACACACACACACACACACACACACACACACACACAAACACACACATACTTGCTTACATTCTAATTTTCATTACAGTTCTACATCCTGTTTGCAACCTTAATTCAAATTCAGTTTAGATGCAAGAACTGAACTGGAATTTAAGCACATTCTAAAACCTGGTCAAGTAAAAGCTGATCAACTGACCTCAATAGTCTTATGCTGGTCGATGCCCAGGCTGTGCATGAGTCGGAGCACCTGCTCACTGTATTCACCCAAGCCTGATTTGCTCTCACATGGCAGACCCTGTCTATACAGCACGGGCCGCTGGGACGGGACCTCCTGCACCATCCAGCGATGCTCTTTGATCTGACTCAGGGACAAACGCTTGGCTGGATCTAGAACCAACATCTTCCTGATCAGGTGCTCGCAGTCTGAAAGAGGATATAGGGAATGCAATGAGCTCAAAAGACATTTCCTTCTGAAACTTCACAGAGTAACTATTATGACTATTTCTCAAAATCTGATTACATACATGTAACCCCTGGCACTGTTCACTGTTTATTCATGACAACTTAAAGGATGCATGAACAGTCGTATTATAATTGTGTTACTTTGACTTCCTCACCCTCACTCATGAAGTAGGGGATGCGGAAACGGCCCTCCAGGACCCTCTGTCTGAGGACAGGAAGGCTAGGACCATCGAATGGAAGAGCACCACACACTAACACGTACAAAACCACCCCCATACTCTGCATGACACACACAGAAAATCAATACATAAACATCAAACTGAGCCGAGGAACTAGCATAAAGGACCACCCACACACAATACAGGAAATGATAATTATGTTTTCAATCAATCGAATTACCATTCGTCATTGACGCAATTCTCTGTTCTGACTATACTGAGAGGACATAAATCAACAAATAGCAAGAATTTGGTCAGCTGCCTACAGTACATATTAGTTTAATGCCATGAGGTCATATCATGCTTTTGTGAATATAGTTTCATTGTAATACCATGGTTTTGTGGACATATACCACGATAATTCCATGTTATTCTTTGGAGAATCATATCAAGTCAATTTATTTGTATAGAGCTTTTCAGAATACACATTGTTGCAAAGCAGCTTCACAGATCATTAAATCATTAAAACCGTGATGTTAATGATTATAATATCCTATTATCTTCATGAGCTGGACAATAATATAGTTAACATTTGACAACGATACAAGCAATCAATCAGTTAAGATGTGGTATAAACTTATATGCTATATGTATGTATGTATGCAGATAATATAGTTAGATTTTGTGACAAAATAATAAAATCAGAGATTTGGTGTATAATACTACATGAGAGGGTATATTACAAGTGGGTAATGTTAATATCTATCTATCTATCTATCTATTAGGGCTGGACGATATGGCCAAAATTTATATCACGATATATTTCTTAATTTCGGTCGATATGATATAATTCCGATATCGATATGAACACTATTTATCTGAAACGGAAATCTTTTGTAACATTATAAATGTCTTTATCATCACTTTTGATCAATTTTAACCATCCTTGCTAAATAAAAGTATTATTTTCTATAATTTCTTTCCCCAAAAAAATAATAAAAATTATACCGAATGGAATAGTGTATAATGTTACAAAAGCTTTTTATTTCAGATAAATGCTGATCTTTGGATCTTTCTATTCATCAAAGAATCCTGAAAAAAAAATGTACTCAACTGTTTTAAATATTGATAATCAGCAAATCAGCATATTAGAATGATTTCTGAAGGATCATGTGACACTGGACTGGAGTAATGATGCTGAAAATTTAGCTATGTATGATCACAATAATAAATTACATTTTAAAATCCATTCAAATAGAAAGCAATTTTAAATGGTAAAAATATTTCAAAATTGTTTCTGTACTTTCGATCAAATAAATGCAGCCTTGGTGAGCAGAAGATAATTCTTAAAAAAAAAAACATTAAAAATCTTACTGTTCAAAAACTTTTGACTGGCAGTGTAGGCTGATTATTCTTACAGATTGAAACAAATGTGCTTCAGCCAGAAAAAAGTGTATGAAAAGTGCTCCGAGTCACTGCAGAATTTTTTTTTTTTAACAACAACAAAATCGGGAAATGTTGCTGGAGACGGGCTTATTGAAAATGCTAACTTATTCTCTACCAGCAGGAGGCACTTTTAGAGAGATAAAACTAGCGGTTTCCCCAGTAATGGCTGTAATCAAAGCAGCTCCACGCATGAACGCTACTTTATCAGATCAAATGAAAATGCCATCTAAAGTTTTCTGAAGACAGTCGGTTCCCTTCAGAGACACATTCAAATAAAACACCCGCGCTGTGTTATGATTTTGAAACGTGCAGTGCTCATGTTTATTCAACGAAGTCAAACTCAACAAATAAATCAATGTATGGGAAACTGGTAATGTATTATATTGAAATATCAGAAATGTGTTTAAAAATCATATCACCGTTATTGAAAAAAATTATATCGCAATACATATTGATATTGAATTATTGTCCAGCCCTACTATCTATCTATCTATCTATCTATCTATCTATCTATCTATCTATCTATCTATCTATCTATCTATCTATCTATCTATCCATCCATCCATCCATCCATCTATCTGTGTGTGTGTGTTTTCCAATTTTATAATAAAGTTAACATTTTACTGTAACAATATAAATACCATTGTACATGAAAATGGTATTTAAAAATAGTATTGTACTAGCACAATACAAGTAGTATGGTATCTATAAAATATTACTATAATATTGCCATCTGATACAGTCCAAGCTTACCCAGATGTCCAGTTGCGGACCCTCATACTGTTGTCCCTCAAACACCTCTGGAGCCGCATACGGGGGGCTCCCACACCAAGTGGTCAGGGGTTCTCCAGGACGGAAGAAGTTTCCAAAGCCAAAATCTGCAGCAGATTTGAATAAAAAGTCAATGTCAGCACTCACATTAACACATATACATCCTGCTTGGCATTTGCAAAATTTTGTGGGCAAAAAAAGGTCAGTTTTCTTTACATTTCCTTGAGAAAAACTGAGTGGCTCTTTCCCGTGCATGGGCTGCTCTGGGGTGTGTTTGCCCTACAAAGACAATAACTCGCTGCTTAATCACTGTATAATGCATCATTACAGAAATGAACAAGTCTAGCTACTAATGACTGTTTTCCAAAACTAACATGGTTGCACTTCTGTTGTTTGAACCATGTTTATTCACCAATATAGGACTGTTGTTAATGACATCACACACAGGTGAAGTAATAACTTATCTCAATAGATTAAAGACTGCTATTAATTTCAGATTATCATGAACAACAGAAAGGTGTTCATTTTTTCTAAATCACTATAAGATGGTTTATTTAGTAAGCACATTTCTAAACAACATAATTTTTCTGAGATGCTGCTGTATTAAACATGGCATCTGAGAACTACTTCACTATTTTTGTTCCCCATCGTGTTGCTTTTTTTGATATTTGATTAATTGCAACTTCCCTCTCACGCCATACTCGAGTTCCCTTACGCCATTTATGCACATGCGCACTCTTCAAAAATGGGCTGATCAATGTCAAACAAGACCATCAGATATACACCAACTATCTCACATCAAATGCCTGGGCAAGTAAGTGCCCTCTTAAAAGTGTTTTAAAATGACCAAGTGATGTACAACATCTAATTTCCAGTGGCAGGTCATTCCAGAGGCGAGGTGCCACAATCGAAAAGGTACGGTTGTTGTGTTCCGTAGTTCCCTCGGTGGCCATCTTGGCAGCCATTTTCTATGTAGGTAATAGTAACGTGAGGGGAGAAACTGAGATTTTCAAAACTCAAATTAGTTGCTTCGCACAATGATGCACTGTTTCGAAGTGCTGAAACACCACATGCTGGCATCACCTGCTGGTCAAAATGGTGCATAAATCACCTTTTTAAAACCAACTGCAAATTTTTAATTTTTTTCTGAAAGTATAGGGCTAATCTACAAAACATAAAATATTATTAAACAGGAAGAGTCTGTATAATATGTGTTCTTTTATGAACTTATAGGGCTTGTTTTGTGTGTTTTATGGAGGGCTCGGCTAACCAGGCCAATAAGGGAAATTCTTCTTGTTATATTATACAAATGCCAAGTTCTGTGATGAAACTCTAGATGGCACAGGCTGATGGGTTGGTAATGCAAATTGATGATATTCACAGAGTTAAACTACTTGGCACAAACGGATTGGTTCATGTTGGATAAGCAGCCAATGAGCTTGCTGCTTTACATTTAAATATCTGTTTAGCATTCATTAGAGCAGTTTGCAGCGCGCTTTCAGAGTTCCTTTGAAACCCTCCACCTTCCCCAGCTCCACTTGTATAGATCTGCTACAGGTTATTACATATGCTATTTGTGCAGCAGCAGTATGTCTTAAATACTCACAGCACGTAACGTATGTATTGGCAGTAGCAAGTTCATGTACTTGCTTCGCAGCAGCAGCAATAATTTACAACAACAGCAATAACCAGCAGCAGCAGCGTAGCAGATCTATTCCACCAAGACCAAATACATTAACAATAAATAATCTAATTGCGATTTTGTTTTACCAATATTGCGATTTAATATGCAATTATTTTTTGCTACAAAATCATTGTATAGTATGACCAACACACTATTAGATAGATTAAACAAATGTTCTTTTCTGTAGGCCAGGCCTATATTGCTTACGATGAAATTAGGTGATGCATGAATTGATATGAATGATATTTTTAACAACTACAATCACAGTAGTATATTGACTGATTTGTTGAACTTCCAACCTTGTAAGCATGTAATAATTATGACAACATAAAGCACTGACAAATAAGCCTGGTGTAAACATTAATATGAAAGTCAGTAACAAATCACACAAACTAAAGTAGATTGCAGAAATATAAAAACAAATCTGTTGCTTTACCACACTACTTTAGGTCATTCACAGTCACTGTAATAAACCTATGTAAATATGTGGACTGCACTAAACACTGTCTGTTAACTGTAACCACTGTGAACCACTTTGAGAACAGTGGTTCTCAAACTTTTTTGGTCAAGCCCCCCTTTAAACCTATAAAAAAATCTTATTTAATTAAAAAAACCTACAGGGAAAAAACACATGCATCACTTGAAACATTGAAAATAGCATAGAGAGAATAACTGTTAATGTTATTATTCTCTCTCTGTTATTTGTGATTTATTTTTTGTGGGTTTCATGCTGTCCGCTAAGGCATAGGACACACAGGCTTTCCTCACCAACGACATTAAACACCGTGTCTACACCGTACGCAGCGGCAAAATACAGTAGAAATCATTATAATCAGTGACACGGTCTACACTGGATGCGACGCGACATTAAACTGATGCCTTGTTTTATTTATGACGTACTGACACAAAGTTAAAATGATTTGCACTGGTCGCCTTTGTCGCGTCAGTGTAGAGCTGTTGCGGCGCGACACGACAACTGTAGCGTCCGGTATAGACACGGTGAGTGAAGCCGAGAGCAAGATATGCCTCAGCATATTTTCTGTATTTAGCTTTTGAATGACCAGCAACTGCCTGGGTCTGTGCTTCATCTATGGCTTTTCTCTTCGCTTTCACAAACCGATCCATCTCCCATTCTAAGTTACGTCCTTTGGCTGTTTACTGTTTTATTTCTTTTCTTTTTCTGCTGATGGCCCGCGCTCGACTTGAAGCAGCGCTGCTTAGACCGATGGGTGTGTGTCATCAAAGTACTGCGAGAGCTATAAGAGAGCGCGGACGTCTCCTTATGCTTTCTCTCGCCGTACTTTGATGTCAAAGACTACCCCGATCGATCTTCAAGTCGAACACACCTCTTTACTCTCGCCTGTCACGTGACCAAGTGTAATCGCAGTCTCTGCGATTTAAAAATCGTGTTTTTTCATATCGCGATATTATCGCAAATGCAATTAATCGTTCAGCCCTAGTTGTCATTATATAAATGTTTAATACAATGTAATTAAAAATATTTTAAAATATCTATATTATAAAGCTGATCTGAGATCAGGTAAACACCATATAGAAACTGGTTAATGGGTAAATAGACTGCCTAGACATGTTAAAATTTTCTAAATGTTTTGATACAGACATAGTCTCAGCCTCAGACGTCACACCCACGGACCGCTGGCTGAACGCCTGACGCATATGGAACGTTTAGCTGGAAACACTTCAAGAGTTTCGACGTCGTCGTCGGATTGGTTAAATTATACAGGATTTCTGGGAGATGTGTATGTCGCGTTCTTTAACGTTCTGCCTGAAAACATAAATGCCATGATGCCAAACCCCCTCATCGAAGAAGAAAGCCGTCGTGTTTACAACTGTGACGATGAGCGCTTATATCAGGATCAAATACACATGCCCCCTGGAACTTGTGCTCTGCAGTGAGGACCATCTTGTTATTGTGGCGAGATTTCCATGCCCATAAACATGATGCGGCAAAAACGAAACGTGATTGGTTGCTTTACCTGTCAGTTATATGGCCTCTTGGATGAGCCTTGACCATTCAAATCGGCCAAGGTTTCCAGAGCTTCTGCCGTCAGTCTGAAGGTCTGGCTACACAAGACTAATACAGATATGACACTAGGGATATGCCGGTATCAAATTTTCATGTTGCGATTAATTGCTAATGCTTTTATCACGGTATACAGTATTATCACGATATTAAAATTTAGTTTTAAAAAAGTGCTGTCATAATACAGTATAACCGGTTTAATAACTTTTTTCTTTTAACAAAAATAACTGAACATTTAAATGCAATAAAGCAATACAGAAAAATGTATAAAGGTAAAAGTTTTACACAGATTAAATTGTAAAAGAACTATAAAGACCAATAGGTATCACTTTACAATAAGACCTCATTAGTTAACCTTAGTTAATGCATTAACATTCACAATGAGCAATAGCTACATTTGCTACAGAAGTTATTAATCTTTGTTTAAAAAATACAAGTCTTAGTTCATGTTAGCTCATTAAATAACACCGTTGCAACTTTCGATTTTAACAACGTGTTATTAAATATAGGAATACCTAAGATTAATGAATGTTCAGAAGAATTTTTCATTGGCAGTTTGTTAACTAATGAATTAACTAATGTTAACTAATGAAGCCCTAATGTAAAGTGTGACCGAACAATAAAGAACCAAAACACTTTCAAACAATATCTAGGGCATGTTGTAGTCCAGATTAAAATGTAAAAAAAGATTGAAAATAAATAGCATATTAAGTCTAAATATTTAAGTATATTGGTGAAAACATGTGTCAGATCACTCTTAACAATCATGCAAAGTTTCATGGAGATCGGACCATAGGTGGCGCTATTAAAGTCATAAATGTTAAAAATCATAATATTTCTTTGGTAAATTACCTGCATTTGCCCAAAATGCTATTTTTAATCATTGATTTAAGGGGTTACAGCCTGGTTAACAAAATCTTTTTCCTTATGTGCTTAAATGCCTTAACTGCTTGAACCCCGGTCATTGCTGCTTGCAGCTATATTTATTATTATTTCTGCAGTTTAGCGCTATCTGCTGTCAGAGAGTGAAAGTGCGCTTTCATCCAGAGCGTCTCTCACATGTTCTGCCATGTGAGTGTGCATCTTTCACGCAGCATACAGAGGTGTTGTGCATTTTGACCAGTTGATGGGAAAAGTATTCTTAAAATGCATTCAAAATTCTGAATAATTTGTAATATATAATTATTCACGGTATTTAGAAGTGCCCACGATAACAATATTGTGCATAATCATTACCGTGATTTATCGCATTAACGAATACCGGCACAAGTCTATATGACATAATGAAGCCTTATTTACTACAATCATTTGACTTTGGCAGTTGGATATGCATATGCATTCCGAACATGATTCAAAACAAAAGATCTGCAAAGGTTTCA